GTTAGATCAAAATGAATCCAATGCTTTCACAAATCATTTAAACTATATAAAATAGACAGTCCTTACGTTGGTACATTTTGTATCATAAATAGAACGATGGACAAATATAAATAACAGAAATTCGTTATGCGGATCCTAAAACCTTATTTATGGCATAGCCAAATACAGAGATATTATTTACAAAAATTATTACCTACCTAATAAATCAAAATAAAATACTACATAATAAACAACAATTGACGTTTTTAGGTTCAAAAGTGGGCTGGATGGATCGCATCCTTACTGTTGATACTCGCTTCAGTGTTGTCCGTGTCTATTTTCCAAGACCCCGAGTATGTGTACACACCTTGGCTAGACTCTACATACGGCATCCTTCACAGACCTGCACTGTCTCTTGGTGTTGGATGGGTCATACTGGCCTGCTCTACTGGAAACGGAGGTTAAGTATAAGATAGTTCAATGGAAACACCATAAACGGGTTTTTACCGAGCTTCTCGTAATTTTTTTAATACTGTATATACATATAATTTCGCAAGAAAGTGGCTCTAATAAACTGTGGATAGTACAACGTACTTTGGATCCACAACAGCAATCTCGTGGATTCGGATCCTGGTGGCTGTTCTAGACCAGCTCACTCCTTGTTTGCTATAGTTATTTGTGTAAGTAGTGGGTAAAGGCAGTTTGAACTCGTGTTACACATGATATTTTTCCTACGGTTACTATAAATCATATAAATAATTGGCATTTCAAACACTGTACTACACGTTTTTAGGTTAGGTTGAATCCAAACATTGAACGAAATAAGAAACGCTAAACCAGCTGATCGTAGTCGTAATAAGTGTTGCCAACTTATTTTCAAGCGTACACGGATAACGTGCATAAGGTACGCTGTTTTGTGTTGTTGGTTGGGGTACTGGGGTTCACCAAAGTAAAAATAGTGTGCCAAAGTAAAAACTGTGTGCCAAAGTAAAAAAAAACTGTGCGCCAAAGTAAGGCTTTCTATACTATAATCTGTGCAAGGAAGCCCACTTTATCGGGTGTGTACCATATGTACAATGACATGCCAATTTTCTGTTTAGCTCAGTCATTGATGTAAAAGACAAAGCAAGGCTCAACAACCAATCAGATGTTTAGTTAGTTTCTTGTACAGATTTGTCTATACCTAGGATATATAAGGCCCTCTGCCACGTGCTGCTGTCTCTTTTGCAGTCAGTTGTTCCTAAAGTTAACTTATAAAAATTCAGTGATCACCCCATTTTGAGGTTTTTGGATAATGAGTAATAACACATTTTTTTTTTATTTATGATTTAAGAAGTTTCGTTGAAACTGTGTTGAAGAGGGCTTAATTTTTTATATATATATATATATATATATATATATATATATAGATATATATATATATATTGAAGCAAGATGAAGATTTATTCGTTTTTACCTACTAAAAAAGACAATTAATTTAAATATAAATTGTGCCTAGTAAGAAGTTTGATAAACAAGGGTACAGGTGACTATAGGAAAACTATGATTAACGCAAAGGCGGTCTATGTGAATGGGAAGATACACGTTTTATTAAATCTTTCAACAAATGTAAAAAAAATCGTTAACCCCTTTAAGCTTTAACCAGAAGACGGTCAGTGATAAAGCTTAATTTCTGTAATTTTAAAACAAAACTCTATATAAAGATAAAGTAAAATCAAACTAAAAGGTATACGTATACATTTTATTTTGTAAAATATACTTTTGGGTCTTTTTTCAGAAGAGGGCCGCCACTATTAAAACTGTGGAAAACTCACAGTTTAGGTTAGGTTAGGATAGCTTTACTAACACGTTTTTATTTTTTATATATATACTTATATACAACTTTATTTCAAACAAAATATGTCAGCACATAAAAATAGAGATCCTTAGGCTTTTCTAAAACTTTATAAAGTATCCTTTACGGACTTGTTAATTAAACAGCTTAAAACATAAAAATATGATATTTGATATACTGGCCATATTAAATGGAACTGGCCTGAATTAGACGTTTGACGATTTAAAACTATACTAGAAACCAGTCAATTGATTAGCTAGTCTAAGGAATCTAAGGCAGTTCAATCAAACATGAACCACTCAAGGATATGTTTGATATGTTTGAACATCCAGAAAGTGTACATGTTAGTCTTAAAGCTTCTCCTAAACACCACAAACGGTTGGTTTCAAATAAAATTGAAGGTTAGCGTTATGTTTATTTTAATCCATCCCTATTATACAAAAGAGCATATATGTCAAATATAACGATTAAGACCCAGATAACATCTTTCGTCTCCTTTCTTAATTGACTAATAACTCAGAAGTTCGAGAGGGAAGGAATAAGAAAAGTACTGTTTTACAGATTATGAAGGGTTTTTTTGCACTATCAATGCCAAGTTCGGAAATATGTTTTAAACCTTTCTGCTATAGCATGCAGCATAGAATACTGCCTAAAAAGCCGCGTTTACACCAAAGTCTTCCACTAAGTTTTCTACTATAATATATATTTAGTTGCTGAAACAAGTTGCTTTTTCTACAAAATACAGCCATTTTTTCTGTCGTCCACTAGTGGAGAGACAAGTTCTTCACAACATTTTGATTATCCGGGGAGAGTCGGTAAAGATCAAAGAAAGTTTACAACAAAAAGTGGAAGATTAGTTGCTACGCTCTTTGCGCAAGCAAATTGTGGAAAATAGTGGAGAACTGTTCCCCTTGGCCCCTCCACGCACCCCGGGCGTGACGTAGAGCGGTAGTAAATTCTTCGGAAACAAGCTTTCCACTAAATGCTCTAAATTAGTGAGGAGCAGATTTTGGTTTTCGACAAAACTCTCCCACTTGATTCTAGAATTTGTTCGGAGCAACATTTAGTTGTAAACTTTTAGTTTAAACTTTTGTTGTCAACTTTTGGTTGTAAACTTTGGTGTAAACGTGGATTTAATTTACATTCTCTCTAGACGTAGAAAATCATAATGCATTTGATTAATTGCATTGTAGATCTCTGTATAAAATGCATTATGATCTCCTACGTCTGGAGAGAATGTAAATTTAAAAGTACAATTACGTACCTTAAGCAATAGTAAAATAAGGACTTTGGAAAATGACCTTGTAAACGAAAGAATAGTAAGAGGATTTAAACACGACTTCTTGTTGTTTCATACTAGATTCGGATTCAAAATCATCTGATTCTGCCTACCAGGTGTCGTGAACTCTCTGCTGGGATGGTCGGGAATGGTTGTGTTATCTCGGCTCACTTACTGTGCGTTTCTTGTCCACTTCTTTGTTCAAGATGTCCAGGCATTCAGTACCAAAACTGCAGTCACGACTGACTTCTTAAATTTGGTAAGTAAACAAATCAATCTTGCCAAATTTCATAGGTAATTTTGTTTCTCATCTTGTTCTTAGTTTTTAAATAAATATGTCGTAGGAAATAATAGTGTAGTCTTTTTAAATTTTATATTTGGTTTGTACTATTATAATTAATTTAAAGAAATCATATTCGCATAATATATCAACAAGTTTTAATATGGTAAATTATTGTCAGGGCATACTAGTTCGAATCTGATAGGTACTTAATGTTTGTTTAAGATACAGCAACCAATTTCAATCCAATCTCAAGTACAAAATATTTTTGATCAGCAAAAATAACAAACGAGAAACCCTTTAATAAATAAACTATTCGAATACTATACTATTGCATCCAGGAGTTTGGTATGATTATTTTTCTTTGCACAAGTCTGACGATAAAACGCTTATATGTTCTGGGAAATAATGTATTTTCTAGTTATAAGTAGCATATTTCCCCCGGTAAAATAAAATAAAATTCATAAATACTGTTATATAGTTCAACAGTATAATGAATACAAATCTCCCATACTGACGCAAGCATTGCACCTTGTATATTTTTAAATCTTTAAATATACTATCCTAAGTATTTTGATAAAACAAGGTCGTAACAAAAAAATATTCCATTACCTATTTGATAAGTTTTAATAAATAACCTAAGTTTATTCATATGTCAAAATCGATTACAACATAATAAATTTAATAAAATGCAACTCCAAGGGTAAATCATTTTGACAAAACCACAAACTTAAATAGGGACTTCTTTAAACAACTAAAATGAGAATTTTCAATGTAACTATTGAGGAACTGTAAAACAAATTCAAATAATGTTAATATACCTAAATATGAATCTTATGGAAATCTTATAAAATGCATTAGAATCGATTTTCATATTTCTAATAGTTAACGTCCTATATGGAGTTCCACTTGGTACATTGATGATGGTAACTTTCTTTTGTTTACAGTGGTTTTTGTTCTCCGCAGACTTTGTGATCAGTTATCTATTAGCTGCAGTTCTGCATTTGACAGTTGAAGCGCCTGTCAATAACATTTTGAAAATATTCCTCAAACAAAAAGGTAAACTATCAAAAATTTTGAAAAAGCTCCTCAGTATATACATAAGAATACACAAAAATATCATAAAACATAATCAAATATGATCAACTAAGCAATGTTTTGTAATTTTGAGAGGCTAGAATAATTTGATCCTGGTATTATAGTGCAATTTACTACTGACATGGCGGACTATGCACAGAACTTTACTTGTATATTAAGTTAACTGCGCTGCTAAAACACTATTTTAGATTTTTTTCCTTGTAAAATTAAGAAATGCATAGCAGTTGGCAAAATCTGTTAGGTGATTCATTGAATTAATACTATACCAAAGGTATGGTAATTTTTCTGATGCTTCGTAATACATAACCTTGCCATAACTGCAATAAATTATAAATTTATTATAAATTAGAAATAAATAATATAAATTATAATTGGATGCCATAAGTATTCTGTGCTCATGTAATTGAAATTTTTAAAACAGAACATTTTAAGATTAAGATTATACGATGAATAGATAAGTCATAAATAATTAACAATTTAATAATTAATCATTTAATAATTAATAATTAATCACATAATAGTTAGTTGTGTTCTGTGTTTATCTGCAAAATATTATTTTTTAGACCTAAGTGCCGTGAACTTTTGTATATAGATTCTCTTCCTCTCTATCTTTGGTAAAGATAAAAGTATATTTGGTTTTTTTCAGATTCAAAATTGGAAGCTGTACCATCTACTTCTGGCACACAACTGCAATCAACTGTTGGGAACATAATGATGGAGTGAAATTAAAAATTCATTAAATTAAACAAGAGACAGAAAAGTTATAAAGTTCATGAATATTAGGCTGCAGTTGTTTAAGAATGTAAAGTAGTATATCTTTTTTGATGCTTTAGGACAAAAATAATCTGAGAATAACCTCAAGCTGCCAGTTATTGTTTTAAATAGTAAACTAGGCCTATGTAATTAAATAAAGTACATAACTGTTTTGCAACTATATTAAAGTTTTAACTAACCTACCAATACAGGTAGTTTGATTTCTATTATTCTGAAAAAGATGGATTATTGATCAACATAAGCAAATATACTTTACTGCAACAAACCCAACTAAACACGTAATTATTTTAATAAGATAGGCTAACTAGTTTTCTTTTTAAGTCTTTTATGAGTAAAAACCAAGATTTACAGGTAGCCTATTTAACATTACAATCTGGTGACTGTTTTAAGCCCTGATATTGTCGTATTCCTCCACCAAACCTTTACCTGATGCTTTAGTGGGCAGCTTCTACCATGTTATTAGGCCTACCAACCATGCTCGACAAGTAGACTCATATCCTTCCCAATAAAACTCCTGGATTACAGCAAATTTTAAAATAGACGCCCAAAAAATTTTTTACTTAGTAAGGCAACTTCTTGTTTATTTATGTATAATTTAAGTAAAAGGTAAACTACATAATAAGATGTTAAATGGTTACAAAACCAAATGTATGTTACAAGAAAAAAACAACTAAAGTTTATAGATATCGTGTTTTGTGTCTGAATAAAATAATTGTATACCAATAAAACCAATGGTATTCACTCAGGTATAAAGAAACAAACAGGTAAAACAAATAGTTATAAGTATTAAATATGTTTCTTTGTAAAAATTTGCTTGCAGTTTTTTTTAATACAGTCATTAAAGTTGAGTGTATTTTTTACTATTCAAAACTTAGCATTGAAATATGAAACATTAAAATATCTTGTGGGTAAATTTCACCATATTATTCCACAAAAAATAGAAAGTAGTGGGCTCAATTGTTATTTTAAACCCTGACTTTTCAATTGGGAAAAGAACTGAACTCTTGAAATATTAAAAAACAAACACTCCTCCAAGTTATAACAGATTTCCAACACAAGCTATTGAGACGGTTTATGGCCGAGTTTTAACCAGAGTCAATAAATCAAGACTTAGAGGAGCATCTGTGCCCATAACATTGGCAGTTACTGCACCAAACACTATTTGCTTTGCCATACAATATTTACTTTGTGATTTGTATCACATTTTAAAGTATAAAATTATACTTTTAAGGCAGGTGTAAAGAGATTTGTAATTTAATTTAAGTTATATAAAATTGTGAAACATTAAGTATTGGCTCTACTACTCTTATATTTTGTATGGGGACATGGGAATCTGGAATATTTTCACACACAAAATGTGAGTTGTATATTATAAGAATATAATTTGATTGTTGTAAAAAAGTATGCGTTGGTTGTTCGCCCATTATATAATATGTTCGATCAACTTTACCTAAACAATGCATTACGTATGTTTATCGTACACAAATAATGGTGTGACCTCATACCGTTATAGCATTGTAAAAACGTTGCTTTCTCATTGATCGTTTATATTTCTGTAATATTTCAACTAAGCTCTATTGCTATTAGTGTAACTAGTGTGTGAAGTGGCACTTTCCTGCACGTTACAGAAATGTTTACGCACGAGCCGTAGGCTAGTATGGAATGTTTTTTGAGTGCAGCAAAGGCATTTGCGCTCGTGGTACACATTATATGTTTCCTGCAGTTACTATAAAACATATAAATAATTCTTCTTTCAAACACTTTGCTTGGTGAAACCTAACACGTTTTAGCCTACAACATATTGTTACACGTTTTAGGTTAGGTAACAACCAAGCTTTGAAGGAATTGGAAAACGCTGCATCTGCTGATCGTAGTCGTAGTATTTTTAAGTGCTGCCAACCTGTTTTCAAGCGTATAATTATTACGTGTCTTATAAAAGCACACCTTTTTGTGTTATTTAGTTGGAGTAGTGAAGTGCGACAAAAATTAGTGCGGCGAAAGTAATTAAATGCAGCTATTAGCTACTTTGCGTGCTATAATCAGTACAAGGAAGCCCACTTTGCCAGGTAACTGTAGAAAAAAGTAAAAAGTTTTTTTTACAACAAAGAATATAGTAAAATGGCATAAACTTTGTCGGTATTAACGAAATTCTGTTATTGTGTTTGCATGTAATTATCATTTGTCAATAATCCTTATATCAATATAACGAAAATCCTTAAACATTTAAAAATGTATTTGTCTTCATGTATAGTATAGTATTGTATTGTATTGTATTTTGTATTGTATTGTATTGTATTGTATTGTATTGTATTGTATTGTATTGTATTGTATTGTATTGTATTGTATTGCATTGTATTGTATTGTATTGTATTGTATTGTATTGTATTGTATTGTATTGTATTGTATTGTATTGTATTGTATTGTATTGTATTGTATTGCATTGTATTGTATTGTATTGTATTGTATTGTATTGTATTGTATTGACTGTGATTGCAAGATTAGTGTATGCTATGGGATTTCTGAAGTGTGAGACAGAATGCAATATGTCACTGTGAGTAGAGTAAGATCAACATAGAGAAACTAACCACAGTAACAAAGAGTTGTGTCATACAGCGAGAGTAGTTTTGCAATGATAATGTAATTACCCGACCTTAGTGTTATCAGGCAGTATGTAATCTGTCACCATGTGTCAAACAAGATACAATACCGGTCAACATAGAGTAACGAGTGACGATAACATAGAGTAGTGTCATACAGCGAGAGTAGTTTTGCAATGATAATGTAATTACCTGACCTCAGTGTCATCAGGCAGTATCTAATCTGTCACTGTGTGCCAAACAAGATACAATACAGGTCAACATAGAGTAACGAGTGACGATAACATAGAGTAGTGTCATACAGCGAGAGTAGTTTTGCAATGATAATGTAATTACCCGACCTCAGTGTTATCTGTAATCTGCCAATGTGTGTCAAACAAGATACAATACCGGTCAACATAGAGTAACGAGTGACGATAACATAGAGTAGTGTCATACAGCGAGAGTAGTTTTGCAATGATAATGTAATTACCCGACCTCAGTGTTATCTGTAATCTGCCAATGTGTGTCAAACAAGATACAATACCGGTCAACATAGAGTAACGAGTGACGATAACATAGAGTTGTGTCATACAGCGAGAGTAGTTTTGCAATGATAATGTAATTACCCGACCTCAGTGTTATCAGGCAGTATGTAATCTGCCAATGTGTGTCAAACAAGATACAATACAGGTCAACATAGAGTAACGAGTGACGATAACATAGAGTAGTGTCATACAGCGAGAGTAGTTTTGCAATGATAATGTAATTACCCGACCTCAGTGTTATCTGTAATCTGCCAATGTGTGTCAAACAATATACAATACCGGTCAACATAGAGTAACGAGTGACGATAACATAGAGTAGTGTCATACAGCGAGAGTAGTTTTGCAATGATAATGTAATTACCCGACCTCAGTGTCATCAGGCAGTATGTAATCTGCCAATGTGTGTCACACAAGATACACTACAGATCAACACAGAGTAACGAGTGACAATAACATGGAGTTGTGTCATACAGCAAGAGTAGTTTTGCAATGATAATGTAATTACCTGACCTCAGTGTTATCAGGCAGCATGTAATCTGTCACTGTGTGTCAAACAAGATACAATACAGGTCAACATAGATAGGTCAACATAGATATCGTTTGTCTTATAGTAGAATTACAGAGAAAAATATATAACCCAGCCTAATCAGAAAAAAATGTCCGTGTTAGAATATCTTAACTTTATTACTGTAATCATCCGTTGCATAACACTACAGTGAGCATTGCAGCCTTATTGTTAGGAGAACAGGATTTAGACCAGAAGACACAGGTTCATCTATCGACTATAACTTATGATTTGGCAACTATCTGTTGCTTTTTCATACAAGATCAAAGGGATAAAACTTGGTTACAAGAAGTTACCGAGATTTCATAAAGGATATTTCGTTGACTTAACTTATGTTGTTACTTTATCCCAACACGGGTTTACAGAAGATTCCCAAAGTAGATGAAGAAGCTTACGTAACCTTAGTTTTATCCCAGATCACAGTCTTGTGGCGGGGGAGTATATTTATAAGAATAAGAATAAGAATAAGAATCGTTTATTGCCGTTAAACATGTACATGCAATGGGCAAAGTCACATTTTTACAATATCTTAGCCTACTTAAAAATAAACAGATGTATAGGCCTAGACCTTAACACAGAATGGTAACATTGAATCGTTGAAAGTCATTTTCAAGAACTCGTTAACACTATACATGGGGTTTTCCACTAACCAATCAGACAAAACTCTCTCAAATTTACTATTACTAACTTCTTTTGCGCTATGAGGCAGTTTGTTAAACAAATTAATACTAAGAACATTGAAAGACTTGAGGGTTTTACTTAACCTACAATGTTGCCTATAAATATGATGACTAGATCTTGTGAAATGGTTGTGGATTTGGTTTGACAAAGTGAGGTTATCTAAATTCTTCTTAACATAACATAAACACACAAAAATATATACATTTATCACAGTTAAAATCTTGGCTTGTTTGAACAAGGGCCTACAGTGCTCATCAGGGTCTACATTAAATAAAATCCTCACAGCCTTTTTCTGGATCACTAAAACTTCACTTATTTTTGAACTATTGCCCCAGTACAAAATAGCATAGAGCAAAACACTATGAAAAAAAGCAAAATAACAAGATCTTAAGTAATGACTAGGTAGGCTAAATCTAAGGCGACGCAACATGTGAACAACTTTGGACAGCTTTGAACAAACCTCAGCAACATGAGTATCCCAAACTAACTTAGGATCAAGATGGACACCTAAAAGTTTAACGCTACTGTCATCATCTGCCTCTTTCGGTGCTCTTACGTCTAGAGAGAAAGTTATATTCTGTGTCTTATTCAAGTTAAGGAGAAATTTGTTAGCTGCATACCATTCAGCTGCCTCTTTAAGAACTACTTCATTCATGGTGCAACAAAGGTCATTAACATTTTTCTCGCTTCTAAAAAAGGTCGCATCATCAGCAAACATGACAGTACTAGCAGAGACATTATCAGGCAAGTCGTTAACCATAACCAAAAATAGGAATGGGCCCAGGACCGAGCCCTGCGGTATACCGTACTCAACCTGGGTAGCGACTGACATTGAACCCTTAACACTAACTTTTTGTCGCCTATTTGTTAGATAGGATTCAAAAATTTTGATTTGAGGACCGACTACCCCATAATACTCAAGTTTTTTCAATAGTATGTCCCGGTCAACGCAGTCGAAGGCCTTGCTCAGGTCACATAACGAAGCTCGAGTGGCTAAGCCTCGCTCAAAACCCTCAATTACTGAGGAAGCAAGGACCCCGACCGCGTCGGCCGTTGACATACTAGGCCTAAAGCCAAACTGATCAGAAGAAATTAAACCATTGGATTCAAAGTAGTCACTAACCTGAGTTTTCATTACCACTTCCACAACCTTGGCAATGACGGGAACCACAGATATCGGCCTGTAACTGGCTGCCTCCTTTACATCCCCAGATTTATAGATAGGTATGAGTTTGGATAACTTCAATTCGTCTGGAAAGATTCCTTCGCTCAAACAAGAATTAACAAGCAAAGTTAAGGGCAAAATTACAACATCTGCAACATATTTCAAGAGATCGTTGGACATATCATATATATCCTTGGTTTTGGATGACTTCAAGCTGGTTAACACTTTCAACACTGCACTAGGCTCAACATTTTGCCACACAAAGCTCTGCTTTACACTTAGCACTTTATTCCTCAGAAGATCTTCAGCCGTTGTGGTTACTGGAGGGATGGCATTACGTATCTGGGGGATGACCTCCATGAGAAACCTGCTGTAGACCTCTGCAGTAGGTTGACCTCTTTCCCTCGGAGCAGCATGAAGTTCATCTCTCACCACTTGCCATGCAGCCTTGGTCTTGTTGGCAGCAGACTCTATGAAGTTCTCGTTAGAAGCCCTTTTGGCATTTTGAATGGCTTGCTTGTACAAGTTTCTTGCTGCTACGTAAGCCCTTCGATCGGTAGCACTCTTGGTATTGTTTGCTATTATGTACAGGGACATAACGTAGTTCTTCTGTGCTTCAAGCTGGGGGGTATACCAGATGCCTGATTTACCCTTAGGAGTAGATAAGTGATTTGACGACCTTTTGGGGAAACACCAGCTCATAATACCAATTAATACATTAAAAATTGTAGTACAAATTGTATTGGTATTTTTGTTATAGAGTAGGCTCTCCCAGTTAATAAGGGCTAACTGTTCTTTGAAAAGTTCCATTTTGTTATAGGTTATAGGTCTCACAATAACATTAGGGCGAGTTGCTTTTTTCTTGTCAACTTCACTGGGAAAGAGCATATCAGTAAGAATGACATGATGATCTGACAAAGGAAGTTTAACAACATTCGCCGAAATCATACACTGTTTCACATTCGTTACAACATTATCTAGGCAAGCAGGTCCTCGAGTAGGTTCCCAGACCGTGCATCGACAACCGACTAACTGAAGCGCATTATGAAGAAGTGAACAATTACTATCGTTCTTAAGAACATCTACATTGAAGTCACCACACATAACAACTTTGGCTTCAAACTTAGTGAAATAACTCAGTGTAGCTTCAAGTTGTTGCAGGAAAATTGTCATGTCACCAGCAGGAGATCTGTATAGGGATAATACTATAATCTTAAAGTTGATTAGCTTCACAGCACATATTTCAAAGTGAAGTTCAATACAGAAGGAGGATGTATCCAAAACTTCGAAGTCAGTAACATTGGAGATATAAATTGCCACACCACCGTGGATAATGCTTGAGCGACAAAAGATGCTCCCCAGGCTATAACCTTCAAGGTTATAAATATCGTAGTTGCTGCTATTAAGCCAATGTTCACTAAAGCACAATACTGAAAAATGTTGCACCTTGAACAGCATGTCCAATTCGTCAATTTTGTTGATTAAACTTTGAATATTACTATAAAATATTGATATTTTGTTTAAATTAGCCTGCTGACCCTCTAGACTAGGGCTCGACTGTACTGCTAAAGCTGAAGCTAGGCCTACCCCTTCGGACTGGGAAACCCTAAAAAAACCGACTGGTCCTTGTTTTCAGTACTATTAACATTATGAAAACTTTCACTATGTTCAGCTTTACCAGCTGGAGTCTTGTATCTCTTGTTCACGAATTTTGAAACAAAAACATCGCTTGGCCAAAAATTTGGAGTAAAGATATCGTTCATTAGTTTGTAGGGCACTCCCACTTTGTACGACGAGTACTTATCCGGATATCTAGAGTTAAGTTTTTCTACGGTGAACTCCTCTTCTTGGTAATGCCCTTTAAGGTAGTCCGTTAAGTCACTTGGTCCAGTTGAAGGACTCAGCCTAGAAACAAAAAGAGCTACACTTCTCTCCACAGATTTAAGGTTATGAGTCTTATCAGAAGTTTGCAGGCTCCCTGTAATAAACTTATTACTTCCACGCACAGATCTATTGTGTTGAATGTTGCTATGCTTGTCGTCAACAGACTTTTGACCCAATCTTGATTTATTTGTTGGTTTAAGCTCTAATTCATTGTGCTTAAGCATAAACCCACCAGACTGAAGCCTAGGCCTATTTATGTTGCTACTCTCCTGAACAGCCGTTTTTTGGATGGGTTTCTTCATTGTGATTTCTGAGTAACTTGGGACACAATTAATAGAGTCCTTAATACCCACGTTATCGTTTACAACATCGGTGATAACCGATTGAGTCGATTTTTTAACGTCTTGAGGTTGGGATGGCTGATTTAGGTTATGTTGTGAAAGTTTAGATCGAAGTTCATCATAGCTCCTCAAAACTAAGTCCAATTTACTTGTAATTGTCAAATTAGTAGTCACTAAACCATTCACTACATTAAAGAGTTTTCTTAGCAGAGTCTTGTCCATGTCGGCAGTTGAATCTTCGTTACAAGTTTCCCTCATGTCAAGGCGGCACTTTTCACAGTACCAGAAAACACTACTTGAAAGTTTATTAATCACATCAAACTCTTTAACCAGTAAGTTGGCGCATTTAAAATGAAATTTTAATCCACAAATGCCACCGCATCGCAGTGATCTGTCATTACTTTTAAATAATATTCGGCAGCTGCCACAATCCAAGTCTTCACTCACCGCCATCTTGCAGACGAAAAAAAAAAATATATATATATATATATATATATATATATTCATCCTTGTTCAAAAGCTATTTGTAAATATGAGATCAGGTTTATGATTCCAGTTAGTGAATGAATCGAAAATGTGACCTTTGACTGAATAAAATCTTGTGCGCATCATAATGTAAAGTAAGCATACTGTTCCGTATTCAAGCGCTACCTAGATATTTCCAGACGTTTCATATCATACAATAACCTTTGTCCTGTCACGTGATGTCTGGAAACCCCAATCTCGCCCCAGTTCTCTTGCATTCATGCAACTACTAACATGTCCCCGGCACAATTAACTCCCAATTGCTGCTCTCATCTCTTAACCCCAAAGTATATTTAATTATTATTAGTGACACATATTAAAAGTGAACTATTGAACATTTGTGAAGTGAAACACTACTACTGCCGGTCCTGGTCTGTGTACGAGCAATACGCAATAGCTGGCCAGCAGAAGAAACTCGTGTACGTCTACCGGCTTCGTCTTCTCAACACTTCAGTTAAAAGGAAGGTACCTCATCAATCTCATTATATCTGTTAAATAATTAGTGACAAGTTTTTAATATTGCTCTTTCAAAATACAGTCCATTTGAACATTTTTAGGCAAGTTTACCCCCCATCCGCTGGTCCTTCGAGCCGGATGAAAATATTATCATTAATAATATATTGTGCTTTTATTAGCCTAGCTACTGTAACTGTTAAAATTGTACAACTAAACTCTTAAAAGTGTCACTTCTCTAAATAATTAGAGCAGCATTTGTATTTCCCATTACTATTTTTGGTGAATAAATAATATTTTATTTCATTCCCCTGTGCCATCTCAGACGTGAATATTTCATGTTAGTTTCATGTTCATGTCCTCCCACTGCTACATAAATCACGTCATATTTCCTTTCAAATAGTTATTTGAAATCAGGAATTAGTTAGGATATTTAATATTTTCTCTAAGTTTCTCAATCAATTCACCATATCAATTATTGTCATTAACAATAATTTTTGTCTGCACTTTGTTTCGTCCTTAATTTTCTAACATATTTTCACTTATCAGAAAGTCAGCCATTTTATATTTTCTGTCCTTGCGATGCACCTTGGTAGCGAACTTCTCCACTAGAGCGCTCTGCCTACAGTCTGCACGTCGCAAGAACCAATGAGCGTCGAGATTCGTAAAACAGAATAAATCGCCCAATGATATTGCTTCTTCAAATTGATCATATGTAAAACTCAGTTTCAAGCACAGGAAATCAGCTGACTGAATATAAAACACACTCCAGCTACATACAGCTGTGTGAATTGAATCAAAATATAAACGTAACCTTCAAGTTTATTTACATCTTGGAAAATATTGTTTTGTGTGAATATTAAACGAAATATTAGTGGTTGAATCGATTCTTGTCTACATTAAGGATATTGCTCATAATAAATACTTCCCTACTCAATATATTCTGCGAAAATACTGATTCAAATGAAATGACTTGTGTTAAATAGACTTTACCTTTATTTACTATGTCTATCCTGGGTTTGATGGTAAAGTGAAATATAATTTTACATTCATTATTTCTTATAGAGTGAATGTAAATGAATTGATTTATTCTGAGCTATTAATTTGCATTATTGTTAGGTCTAAGACTTGGAGTTATTTTGATATTTAGTTGTTGGGAATATTTACATAGGCCTAAACTTATGATAAACTTAGGCCTATAGCTTACTCTATTGATTACATAAATGGTCTGTTAAAATGAGATTCTCTACACTAGAGAAAAAGGCAAAACTTGTCAAAAATAGGCTTCAGAAAATAAGCAAGTTTGTGTCAGCCCAAATTACTCTCTCAGAAACTCAATCATTAAATGTTGTTTCCATTCAGCGCTTACACAACTATGATGATGAAGTTAGAGGTTTATTCTCTGATTTTAAAGCTTTATTCGATAAAGTGGTTTATGATGATCCTGGTTCTGATTATGACGAAACTGAAGCATGCTCTATGCAAGATGAAATTTCGGACTTGTACATTTCTCTGATCAGTGACTTGAAAATAGTGTTACCTGCTAAAACTAAAGAAGGAACACCTCCCACCCAACCATCTCTGCGACTGCCCAAATTTGAGTTGCCCAAATTCAGCGGTAACTACGAAGAATGGGTTAGCTACTACAATATTTTTGAGGCTTCTATTAATAGGAATGAAACTTTGGCCCCTGTGAGTAAGTTCCAATATCTGCTTAGTTCTTTAAGTGGTGAACCCTTAGATTTAGTAAAGAGCTTAAGCATAACTGCAGAAAACTTTGATGTTGCACTTAGGCTGCTTAAGGATCGCTATGATAACAAAAGGCGTGTTGTAACTCAGCTTGTTACAAAAATCATTGATTTGCCATGCATAAGTAGTGGTTCTCTCAAAAGTCTCCAACATTTTCTCACAGTTTATAAAGAGAACACTCAAGTTTTGAAAAATCTCAACCATGACATAACAGCTGAAAATACTCTGCTTGTCCTAACGCTTTTGAAAAAGTTACCTACTGATTTAAGAAAATCTTTTGAGGATTCTCGCATCACAAACAATGACATACCTGCAGTAAATGATCTAATTCAATTCCTTGAAAGAGAATTTAAACGATTAGAAGGAGCTAGTATCGGTCTTGGTCCCTCAGCTAACGCAAGATACCCTTCAGTGCAAAAGACTCAATCTAATAGTTATAGGCCTAAACCTCTTCGAGATAGTAAACCTTACTCCTCTCAAGCTAAAACAGCTTTCGTCACAGTGACTAACACTTGTAAGTTTTGTCAAGCATCCGATCACAATATATACAAGTGTCAAGCCTTTCAGGCTAAAAGTAGAGGTGATAGAGTTGAATTCACTTGTAAAAATAATCTATGCGCCAACTGCCTAGGCCATCTACATGATACTAATAACTGTCCTTCTCATAGAGTGTGTCGAATTTGTTCAAAGCGACATCACACTCTCTTACATGACTCAACTCCCACACAACAGCAGCCAAGTTACCCAACCAAGGTTTTTGAAAAAAAATATGGTAAGCCGCCTACAAATAGCGCACCCCAAAGCCATGTCACCGCACCAGTGAATAAAAGTGCTCTTGTAGGATTGTCTAGCCAGTTAAACCCAACTAAAACAACAATTTTACTTGGAACATGTTTAGTTCAGGTGTTTTCCAAAGATGGTCAGCAAACTGTACTCCGTGCTGTGCTCGACTCTGCATCTCAACTTACATTGATATCTGAAAGAGCTGTTCAGCTCATCAGTGCCTCCCGTACTCGAGCACATGATGAAATCCAAGGAATTTCTGGCTCACTAATTCATTCTAGAGGAATAGTGAACATTGATATAATCTGCAGTTAATGGTCAACGCTTAGCCTACCATCATCCATGCTTGGTTTTGAATCGTATCACGTCACCACTGCCTCAGATCCCAGTCTCACCTCAAGTGAAGGGATCCTTAAATGATTTTGTTCTTGCAGACCCCTGTTTTGACAAACCTGGAGAAATTGATCTATTGATCGGAGCTGATTTATTCGCTCTCTCACTGACTGGTGAGCAGCACTTCTTAGGCCATAACCTGCCCCAAGTTTTAGGAACTATATTCGGATTTGTTGTAATGGGCATAGCTCCTGTTGCTACATCTGAGTTATCAATCCCAAAAACTGTTTCTTTTCTCACTACACATGATGGAGACCTTCACAGTTCACTTCAAAGGTTTTGGTCAATCGAAGAACCCCCGACATGTGTCAAGACTCAGTCAGAAGAAGATGTTCTCTGCTTACAGCATTTTGAAAGAACCCATACACGTGATAACTCTGGTCGATATGTTGTTAAGTTACCGAAAAGACCAAATCATCCACTATTAGGTGAATCTTGTAGTACAGCTCAACTTAAACTTAAAGCGATGGAAATAAAATTTGCTGCTCAGTCCGAATTCAAAGATTTATACTCCGAATTTATGGATGACTACATCAAATCAGGTCACATGAGTGCATGTGAGCAACCCCTTTCTGGTGAATGTTACTATTTACCCCATCATGGAGTATTTAAGGAGAATCCCCCTAATTCCAAAATACGAGTCGTATTTGATGGTAGTTCCAAAACAAATAATGGCGTCTCCCTAAACGATATCCTCATGCCTGGCCCTAAGTTGCAGAATGATATTAGTGATGTCTTGCTGTACTTTAGGTGTCACAAGTTTGTGTTCACTTGTGATATACGACAGATGTATCGCCAGATTCTGGTGGCTGAAGATGACAAGAAATATCAGTTAATCTTTTGGCGATCCAATCCTGATGAATCCCTTCAAGTCTTAAAGCTAAATACCGTCACCTACGGTCTCAACTGTTCCCCGTTCATTGCGATCAGAACATTACAACAATTGGTCAAAGATGAGGGTCATTCATACCCCAAGGCGTCTGAGATTCTAACTAAATCAATATTTTATGACGACATCATCGCTGGAGCAGAAAGTCTTGATGAAGCTTTGTCTGCACAGAATGAACTCAAGAACTTGCTCGCTAGAGGAGGTTTTGAACTCCGAAAATGGATTAGCAACGCACCCCAACTATTGGACCAAGTCCCAATTGAACACAAAGAGACTCCAGTGGAGTTAACTGAAAATAGTGAAGCCTTCTTCAGTGTCCTAGGTCTAAAATGGACCCCAGAGTCTGACATGCTTTCTTACAAGGTTAAGGATGTTGAAATAAGTGCTATACTTACAAAGAGAAGAATATTATCTACAATCGCTAAACTGTACGATTTACCAGGATTTCTTACACCCGTAATTTTCTGGGCAAAAACACTTATTCAGTATCTCTGGACAACAGGGCTAACTGGGGATGAACCTGTTCCAAATGATGTTAGAACCAAGTGGCATTTATTCTTAGAAGAACTCCCAATAATTCAAGAATTAAGAATTCCACGCTACATTTCTACTTCTCTGCATACGGCTGTGCAACTCCACGGCTTCAGCGATGCTTCAGAGAAAGGCTACGCTGCTGTTGTCTACCTTCGTGTCACTGACTCTCAAGAGAATACAAGGCTCTATCTCATCGTCTCTAAATCAAAAGTCGCTCCTTTGAAAAGAATTTCTCTGCCACGGCTTGAACTTTGTGGCGCTCACTTACTGGGAAAACTTCTTCAATATTCTTCAAACATACTCTCTGCTCATATGAAGATTGAATCAATCTATGCTTGGTGTGACTCCACAATTGTCCTAACCTGGATACGTACTCTTCCATACCGCTTGAAAGTCTTCATTGCCAATCGTATTTCAGAACTCCAAGAATTGGTCTCTCCTCACTCATGGAATTATGTCAAATCTCAAGACAACCCGGCAGATTGCGCCACTCGTGGTCTTTCACCCTCTCAACTTGTGACTCATCATTTATGGTGGAATGGACCGGAATGGTTACAGTCATCGTCAGATTCTTGGCCTAAGCCAAAATTCACACCTGTTATTGATGATGACACTCTTGAAATAAGGCCAAATCCTCTAAACGTTCTAGCAACCACAGAGAAGATTAAACTCACTGATTTTGATATACTAGAAAAATATTCATGTTTCAGGAAACTTGTAAATGTCATTGTAACCTTTCGTAACCTTTCCCAAATTTGCCTCAGCTTTCTCAGGGAGAAGGGGTGGTCCAACTCAAAGCTTACACCTTACTAAATAACCCAAACTGAATGTTCTTAGTGTTTATTATGGGCGCCACCGTGTTGTAGAGTAGAATTTAAACAGGGTCCAACAAGGAAGTTCTCCTGTACTCATGGGATGATATTTTGGATGAGATAATAAAAAGAAACAATCAGCTGGGCGGCTAATAGCTTACCAAATTCAAACCAAATATTACTCCACAATGACAACAACAATAATACTATTATCAGCAAGTTCACTTATAATCAGTAGTAGTAAATGGTTACCCAGTTTAGCATAGAACTCACATACCCCTTATCAGTTGATGATATGACTAGATAACTCAGGCTATATAGTTAACTACTAACCAAGAACTTTTGGGTAGTTTACTAAGTTCAAAATCCTTTTAAGTGTCAAAAGTAATCAACCAATCAATAATTAAACCAACTTACAACAATAAATTTTTTAAACTAGACAGTACACAGGAACACAACAACGCTTGTGTACATGGCCATGCTAGAGAATTTATTTTACCAAATATGATAATACACAAGGTCAATATAACAATAATTTATAATTTACATTCCCATGCAACCAAGGATCCAGTCCTTTTAAATTAAGGCAATCAAGAGCAATTGACAATCACTAGCAATTATACAGATAAATAAATAGATAAATCAATTGATTTGTGAATACAGTGTTGCAATCAATGTAATATCTTTTCTCTCTGAGGTGTGCTCAAATGGCTGGATAAGAAACAGAATCTAATTCTAGATCAGATAATCCCCCTTCTGTAGCTCAAAGCATTCAATAGCTCACCTAAAATGCACAGTTTCAAAGACATATAAATACAATCACAAACACTAACCAAAATCTTACTAGCTAAATTACAAATACATGAAAACTCAATGACCGGGGCCCCATTTAACCTAAAAGATTAATCCGGGCAGGCGTGAATAGTCCAAGTGTCTTGAGCTGTCCTCCAATAAGTCCTTGTTAAGTCCAGGCAATAAATAATAGGTAAATGTGTCACTCACCAAGTCCACCGCACAAGGTAGCTATCAAGGGAATTCCGGTCTAGACCGATTTGTCTCACACAAGTAGATAGCACACAGGTCACGGGGTCAATGAGGTCCAGATAGGTGTGAAGATACTGGTAATCACAGTAGGCAAGTCCTGTAGGCTGTCACAGTAGATCCTCCAAGTATGGCGTGAAGGGCTCACAAAAACCCTGTACAATAAACCCAATAAATAGTCTTAAGCAATTACCGAAATATACACATAAATGCTGTTACATAATTATTTAATCCTTTTGCAAGTTCTCCATAAAATAAACAATTATTTTAATTAATCCATCATTAAGTTACCCTACACTATGCTTTATACAAATAAAACATTAATTGTGTTGGAAGTAAAACAAGCAAATAATAGATTAAATTGAATATGTTGAATACAAATATTCTGTTTTAAGTACTGTACTGATATTTACATCAAGGCCTACTGTAATCCAATTATTTTTTTGTTCAACAGAATCTCCAATTAAAAATATTATACTCAATATGCGATACATCATTTAAATTCATCAGTTAGTTAAATACTAATGTGTGCTACATAATTCTACTTTAATAACATTTCCAACTTCAAACTATTTTCAATATTTAACTAACTCATTCATTTGTTAACTATTAATTTCTCAGTAATACACAAGATTTACATACAATTTAATATACTTTGTGTGTTATCCTTTCATGAGTGGCAATACAATATTATTTATCACATATAACACATATTCAGTTTCAACTAATTAATTGATAATATTTTACCCTTCAAAACATTCAACAGAACAAAGCTAACATTTAATTGAACACTTTTACAAATTAAAATAAATTAACTATAATGCAGTACAAACCAGTGTATTATTGTTTCTTTTTAGTTTACCTCTTTAAGAACTAAGTAGCATATTTACTTGTGAATGAAATTAACATTTTTTTTTTTTAAAGGGTACAAAAATAGTAATATTAATATTTTTTATATGACAATTAATTATAATTTCAAAGCATTATTTATTCTAGGAAACAGTAGACTAATTTCAAAAGATAATTATTTCTTCAATTAATTTAAATACATAAATAAAATATCCACATAGTTGTATTATTTTCCACAGACTACCTTGATATAGATTTTTAAGTTATTTTTAACACATGAAAACGTTTAAAAATACATTTAATGAACCTAATAAATTAATATTCCAACAAAATATTCAATTTTTGAGGAGTAGACCTGAACAGGATTGTTTTTACATGATACAAGAACATGTGGTTTGAATTTGGTAATTAACTCTGGATAAAATATCATAATTTTGCAATTTATGTAACTGAAATTCAATCATATAGAATATAACATTAACATACCTCATCCATTTAAAAATAAATGGTTAAAATCCACATTGAGTGCGAGGGTGAATATTCTTCAATCTTCATGAAGACAACATGAAGAATCTTCAGACAGGTAGCCTACAACTGGTCTTGTTCAAGGTTTGAACCGCTCTGCTCCAGGCTACTCTCTTATCAGTTTGGAACATCCTTATCAGTTGAGCTGGTGAACTGATACAATAGCTATTGTCTGGTTGGGTTTGGAGTAATTGTTTGAAATGAATCTCTAATTTTTATTTGAGCTGATTGCGCGCTCATCAACTCAAAAAGGTGTTAATTCATCTTTTGAAGTGGCCAACTTCAATAAATGACAATTAGTGAGGCAATAGAGTATATCAATTGTTACAAATACTCCTCCTCCTTTAGAAAATTTCCCAAATTTTCTTATGCAATGTAACGTTTGAGGTCAGAGATGTGCCAATTTCCGATCAGAGTGCCATCTTCTTTCTTCAGTTGGTAAATTATAGGAGAGATCCTTTTTGCCACAATATATGGACCAGTGAACTTGGGTGCCAACTTTCCACAGAAATGGTTTGCAGCATCAGATACTGGAAAGTTTCGCTTGAGGACTTGATCATTCTCCTTGAATTCCAAATGTCGTCTTCTAAGATTATATCTCGCACAATTTTTGCTGTAAGCGTCATCCAACCTCTGTTGAACTTCCTGGTACAGTGTCTTCAGTCCTTTCATCTTGCAGCCGTAATCTTCAGATTCTTCTACTTCTTGACCATCTTCAATGGACTCAGCAGGTTCTGTTCTAAGAAGCAACTCTCTTCCGAAATTCAAGAAGACCGGTGAGTAGTTAGTAGTCTCATGTTTGGCTGTTCTGAGAGCAAAAGCAATCTTGGGAAGCTCTCTATCCCATAGCCGGTGGTTATCGCCTACAAAAGCTCGTAGCATATTTCCAATAGTTTTGTTTACTCTCTCGGCAGGATTTGCTTGAGGATGTCGACTGGCATTATACAAAATCTTGACTTTATATTCATTAGCCAGCATCTTTAAAGCCCTTCCAGTAAACTCAGATCCGTTATCACAAACGAGGTATGCTGGAATTCCAAATATCAAGAAGACATCTTGTTCTAAATGTTTTGCTACTAGTGAACTTGTTGCTGCTCGTAGAGGAAACAATAAGGTGAATTTGCTGAAGGTGTCTGTCACTACCAAAATGTATTTGTACCCAGAAGTAGATCTTGGCAGGGGCCCAATTAAATCTGAGGCTATCATCTTCCAAGGTTCTGAAACACCACGACGAGCTCCCATGAATCCAGTGGGTTTTTGTTGGTCACTTTTAGTCGTTTGACAAATCTTGCAACGGGAGACATACCTTGCAATATCCTCCTGCATCTTGGGCCAATAATATTGAAGTTTAACCCTAGAACAGGTTTTGAAAGAGCCCATATGACCCGCAGTCGGTACGTCATGACACATCCGGATGATTTCAGAACGCTCTCCTTTTGGAACCACTTTCTTCCACTCAGAACATCCATCACCCAATCTTGTGCAAACAGGGACCAATTTCCACAACACATTTCCATCGACTCGCCATGAAGGGTATTTGTCACTATGTTCCGTAACTTGTTGAATCATCTTCGTATACCATTTATCCTCAGTTCCATCAATTCTGGCTACCATTACTGGATTTTCGTCCATTTCCAGGGACCTAGACAGCATATCAGGCACAACATGCTCCTTACCCTTCCTGTGAATCAAATTAAAGCTATAGGGTTGTAGACGCAGGGCCCAACGTGCTAACCTACCCTGGGGGTCCTTCAGATTGTGCAACCATAATAAGCTATAGTGGTCTGTCACAATTGTAAAGTGAGTGCCCTCTACATACGGTCTAAACCGCTCAACGGCCCAGATCACGGCCAAACACTCCCGCTCAGTTGCAGAAAATTTCTGTTCCGCCCTTGTTAATGTGCGTGAGGCATAGGCGATCACATGTTCCCCTTGTTCATCTGTCTGACTCAAAACAGCTCCAAGACCAACTCCAGAGGCATCACACGAAATTGTAAAAGGTCTGCTGAAGTCAGGACAGCTAAGGATGGGCGCCTTAACAAGACAGCTCCGTATGTCATCGAAAGATTTTTGAGCCTCTTCTGTCCACACGAATTTATTGCTTCTCTTGAGAAGGGACGATAAAGGGTACAGTCGACTGGCAAAATTGGGAATGAACCTGCGATACCACGATGCAGTACCACAAAATTGACGGACTGACTTTTGACTAGTTGGAATTGGTATCCTGGTAATTGCCTCCACCTTTTCAGGGTCAACCCGAAGTCCTCTAACATCTACCACATAACCCAGATAGCGTAGCTCGCTCCGACAAAAGTGGCATTTTTCCTTATTAAGGGTCACATTTGCGGCTTGAAGACGCTGGAAAACCTTCCTCAACACCTCTAGATGATCTTCAAAAGTCTGCGTTACGATAATAATGTCATCAAGATATACAAAGACATGTTGTTCAAGATCCGCACCCAGAACAGAATCGATGAACCGTTGCCAGGTTGCTGGGGCATTGTGAAGCCCAAACGGCATGGTGTTGAACTCAAACAATCCACGACCTGGAACCGTGAAAGCAGTTTTGTCCTTGCTTCCTGGCGA